TTGAGTCTATTCTTTATGTGGTGTTAGGGGAGGGTCCAACTTCATTCCTTCACATGTGGAGGTCCAGTTTTTTCAGCGCCATTTGTTGGAAAGACTGTCTTCCCGGCTGAAGGGTCTTAGTGCCCTTGTCGAAACCATTTGGCCACACGTGTGACGGTTGATCTCTGGGCTGCCAGTCTGGTCAACTGGTCTACGCGTCTGTCCTTGGCCGGCACCCCACTGTTTTGGCCCCTGCAGCTTTGTAGTAAGTTCTGAGATCAGTAACAGTGAGTCCTCCGTGAATCTTCTAAGTCTGCCCCCAAAAGTCTGCACCCGCGTGGCACACGGCATGTGGGCCTGGTGCACAGAGCGCTCGGCCGTCCAGGCCAGTCCCCGAGTCTGACCTCTCGCCACGGGAGCCGAGTTGCACCACAGCAGCCGCCCACGTGACCCGTCACATGCTGCCATCCACCCATCCCTCCTCCCAGGACACGGCTGCGTGTCCGGTGCCCAGCCAGCCCCTCGCTGCTCCCTCTGCATACACGTGTGCCCGCGAGCCCCCTGTCTGTGCGGGGTGGGCGTCTGGGCGGATGTCACAGCCCACCAGCGCCCCCTCTTGTCATCTGTCCCAGCTGCATGAGGCACTCCAGCCAGGGCTTTGGCTCCTGGACACTCCCTCTCCGGAAGTGTTTTCCACGGCTCTTCATTCACTTGTCCATCAGGCATTTGTCGCTTACCAGGCACCTTCCGCGTGCCAGGATGGAGCAGGGAGCCCAACTGCCAGAGACAGGGGACGAGCAGCAGACAGGTCACTGGGGGAAAGTATTCGGAGAAAGCTGGAGCGGCTGGGAGGACAGGTGATGCTGGTGGGGGGGGCGGTGCATGTTACACATGGGTCAGGGAGAACCCCCCCTTAAGTTACATTCGGGCAGACAGCTGAAGGAAGACCGGGCTGCCAGGCCGTGACCAGGTGCTGCAGGGGTGCGGTGGGGTGGACGTGTGAGGTCAGAGGGGTGGCCAGAGCCGTGGGGCTGGGTTCTCTGGGGACGTGGGAGCCCCAGGAACGGGCCCTCCAGCTGTTGTATCCAGGATGGGGGTGGGGGCCAGGGCAGAGCAGGGAGCAGCTTGGCCTTGGATGGGTGCCGGGGGCAGGGTTCCGACTTGTTTCTGAAGGTAGAGCAAGGTCTGATTGATCTGCTGTTAGGTTGTCCCAAGGCCCTGCCAGCGCCGCTGTGGACAGCACCCTGGTCCATCTCTGGAGTGGCAGCCAGAGGGGAGCTGCTGGCGTGTGACGTGCAGCTCGGGGCCTCCTCGTCTCCCCAGGCCCGTCCCCTTGCTGTGGCCTGCTGTGCCGGCCAGGCTGGGCCAAGCGTCCAGTGTGCCCTCGAGGCAGACCTTGGTTCTGGCCGTCCTGTGCTACCTCCCTAACCTCCATCCCCTGATACTCACAGGGAGGTTTCCGGGCAGCACTGCCCGCATCCGGCCATGCCAACCCGCTGCCCCAGACCCACACAGTCCCGGGAGACCGGGAATTACACTGGAGAAGCCCCGCTCCACACCGCTGCCCTCCTGACGCCAAGAATCACCATCGTGGTGGACCGGGACCCTGGAGACTGACCCAGGTGAGGACCCCCCGGAGGAACAGGTGCAGCCCTGAGGACTCTTGTTAAGCCGCTCCCCTTACCCACCACCCAGGAGCCCACAGGCGAGGTCCCAGCCTCTCCTGACGGCCAGAGTCCTTTGCCAGGTCCCAAGGCGGACCCCTCCGTCCCGGTGCAGCTCCAGAGCCCCAGTGACGGTGGTCAGCAGAATAGTGGTTCCAGGGACACCATGTCCGAAACCCTGGAGCCAATGACCCTGTCAGCCTACGTGGCGAGGGTTGCCATCCGCTGAACTTGGAGGGCGGATTCTCCTGGCTGAGGGGGGCACCCAGTGCAACCGCCGGGGTCCTTGACACGGAGGAGGCAGCGAAGAGAGAGGCACAGAGTGGGGGGGTGAAGAGGACCGGCCCCCAGGCGGCCTGAAGATGGAGGAGGGGCCACACGTCAGGGAGCGCTCAGCCTCTCAGAGCAGGAAAAGGCAGGACGTGGCTCTGCCCTGGAGCCGCCCACACCGTCTGGATGCCCGGCTGGTTTGCTCGTAACGGCGGCAACAGGCAACCAGAGGGTCAGGTCTGTGCTCCCCTGTGGGGAGGCCGGGGCTCCCTTCTCTCCCGGGACCCCGCCCTCTGCCGAGGCCACTGTCCGCATCTCCCCGTGTGCTCCCCGTCCTGCCCGGAGCCGAGGCCCAGGGCGAAAGCAGGCTGCCCCAGTACCGGGCCTGGACTCCCTAGGTTTTCAGTCAGTGACCCACAGATGGGTCCGCAGGAACGACCTGCTCTGAAGACAGGGACTGGTGGGGACAGGGGCATCTTAAGCCATGGGTGTCCCTCCCCCAGCAACCGGCAGGCTTCAGGAAAGGCTACACCCAGTGCAGGACCCACTGAAAACCCTCGGTGGCCTCACAAACTACGCCGCCATGTCCCTCCCACAGGGGGCCCGGCCCCAGACCTGACGGCGGACTACCAAGACCCTCCGTGCCCCGCCAGCTCCACAGCCCCACGCAGGCGTCGCAGGCCCAGTGTCCATCGCCTGGCTGGCCCGGTGGTCACCGCCGGCTGTGTAGACGTGAGGCTGGAAGCTGGGGTCCCTGCCTGGAGGCCCCACAGGGAGCGCCTGCCGCTGATGCCCTGGGCTCGTCCCGTAGAGCAGGACACAGGCCCGCCCAGGGGAGTGGCCGAACTGCTCACCGCTGGGGCTAAGACTCTGGTTTGCTAAGTGTTCTCGGCCAGAGCACGTGCGTGGCCTGTTTGTTCCGACGTCATCCTGGGACCTCAGACCACTGGTCGTACGGGCACCTCAGGGCACAGGCGGCCACTGGCCGCTACTCCACGCCGGCGCCCAGAAGCCTCGGTCTTCCTCTGTGGGGTGGGGGCCTTGTGGGAACGGGTTACCACCGCAGCCCGTCTGTCCACGGCACAGTGGCTGGAACGGGCGGCCCGGGGGGCGGCGTGGGAACCGAGCCCCTGGGTGTCCTGCCCACAAAAACAGCGCGGTGACCACGGCCTCTCCAGAGCCCCAGCCGCGACAGAGCCGGCGTGTGGGAGCCGGAGCCGGGTCACTTCCCAGCGCCGCCCGCCAGGATGCCAGGGGCCCAGGGCCCTGAAGAATGTCTGGGAATGTTGGACGGCAGGCGGGGGCGAGAGTGTGCAGCCAGCGGGGTGCGGCCGGCCTCGAGGGAAACAGTGCGGCAGATAAGGCTGCTCTCCCTTCCGGGCCGGCTGCTGACTTTGGCTCCAGCGGTACCCACGCGGGGACCCGGCGCCAGGGGACAGGAGGGGCCGGCAGGGGACGGGAGGGGACGGGCTGGGGGGCTTGAACTTTCCACATCCAGATCCGGCTTCCAGGGAGGACGTGGGGCCGGCAGGGCCGGAGCAACTCCACGTCCCTCTGCCCCCCGCATCCTGTCACTGGAGCTTATCTGGCAATAAAGGGTTTCTGAAGGGCGCTGGGCTGAGCAGTGGCAGAAGGACAGGCCCGGGGGCTCGTCTGGCCCCGGGGACCCTCGGCGGGTTTGGGCTGAGCGTGAGCTCGACCGCCTCAGCTTTTCCTTTTGTTTCATCTTTTTCTTGCTGAGCCGCACCTGCGCCAGGGGTGAAGGTCGAGCGACGCTAACAGAAAGCCCAGTCGGCCGGCCAGCTCAGCCAGGCTGCAGCCACGGCCCTCCCAGGCCATCACCGTCACCCCGGTGGCCCTCGGCCCCTGCCTGTCCCCCCGGCGGTCAGCCTGACATGGGGCCGTGCGAGGGGCCCTCAGCCCAGCACCCCGGCTGTTTTCCTTCTTTTCTGTGCACTTCCTCCCCACCACGGGAAGAGCTGTCCGTGTTAACGTTCCCACGGCTGTCTTTGTACCATCTCCCCATCTCTCCCCACGCCTGGCCCGAGGCTCTGGGACCATCGCAGCTCGCCACAGCGCCACATTCCCTCGGTCGCATTCCCTCCACCTCTCCCTGGGCCCCTCTGCCTTCCCCTGGCTGGATCCCTGTCCCTAATCCAGGTCATTCTCGCGGCTCACACGTGGGCTGTAGGGAACATCCTTCGAGGTTTCACCTGGATCACAGGTGCGCTGACTGCGGAGGGTGGTCCCGTCCCATCACGCAAAGGAAGGTCCCCACCCAGCCACGCACAGGCCACCACACGCAGTCCCCGCTGACCTGTGCCCCCGCAGGTGGTCAGGACGGAGCAACTCAGGCCCCGTGTGAACAGCTGGGCCACAAAAACAGTGGACCAGGCAGTGCTGAGAAGGGGGCGGAAGCAGGCCCCAGGCCACAGCCTGGACAGCCCAGCCGGATGGTGGAGGAGGGGCCATGTCCAGTCGATGTGGGTCCCCCAACATTTCCCCTGCCTTTCCCCGGTGGGCACACGCCGGGCGGGACAGAGGAGCTGGGGGAGATGGGAGGCAGCAGGTACCCACAGAGGGCAGGGAGGCCCAAGGCCGCCCAGGTTGGAGCAACCATGACCTTGTCTGCAGAACCTGGGATTTCTGTGGGTTCATTGCTTTCACTCACTTATGGGGGGTGGGATGAGGGTGCGGCAACAAAAGGAGGAAACAGCGTTTGACCGAGACCTGGCCTGGGGTGTCCACCTCCAGCACCCGCCCTGAAGCCCTGCCCACGCCAGTGGCCCGGAAGGGAGGGGGCCACATGCTGGGAGGAGGGGCCCACACCCCACTCCCCAGGCTGCCACCAGAGGACGCTCAAGACAGCAACCCGAGGAGCGGGAAGGCAGGGGCGCCAGGAGCGGGCCTCGCAGCAGCACCGTTCTGGGCCAGGGCTCCCACCACCCCCGCCCCCCGCCTCTGTCTGGGGAAGAGTCTCCGCTCTCCCACCTCGAGGGGCACACGGCGCTCCCGCCTCCCTCCACGGGGACCCTGCTGCACGGGGCCGACGAGCCCTCCACCCGCCCCAACCTGCGCCCGCCCGGCCCCCCGCCCCCGGCACTGCCACGTGCAACACCCAGGCCTGCTACCACTTCTGCATCCGTCCAGATGCTCTGGTTGCAGACCCAGGTCTGTCCTCTGGTGTGTCTCGCGCTCAGACAAGCAGATACACCCACGGCTGATGCAACGGACACAGGTAAGGGGACCATGATTTGGGCCCAGCTGAGCCAGGAGCCCAGATGAGTCTCCGGGCCACTGTCCCTCCCACACCTGTTTCTCTCTGCAGGGGCTCTCCCTCCAGGGTGGCCCAGAGATGACCCCCATGGCTAGCAAGCTCCAGGAGCAGAGGGGGCCCTCTCCCCAGGGGTTCTGCTGGCTCAGCCCAGGCCACGCGACATCCCCGACCCAGTCTCTGGCCAGGGTGATGGGTCAAGCCTGCCTCACCCACGTCTGGAGCCGGAAGAGCGGGCAGCTCCACCCAGACCACGTGGTCCGAGAACGGGGCTTCCCGCTGGGTGTTAGGCGGATACAAGGCATAAAGCCGGCTACAGGTGTTCACCGCTGTGTTATTCACAGAGAGAAAATCCGGAAATAACCGAGCGTCTGACCACGGGGCTGGGTTAAACAAGCTCAGGTCCACACACTTGGCGGGACGTGGAACAGCCTGTACGTGGGGAGGCTCGTAGTCTCCCAGACAGACACAGCGTGACGTGGAGAAACAGGCTGCCAGGAGACGTAAATAGTGGGGTCCCACACATATCTGAAAGGCCACACGAGGAAGTAAATACCAACGTGGATCTTATCAGAGTGGGTGGGATGCCAGCAAGTTTTACTGCCCTCCTTTTGCCAATCTGCCTTTTCTCAAGTTTCTCAAAGGAACACACATTAATTTTGTAATAAAAGGAAAAGCTATTAATAGCACGTCAGAAGGTGTCCCAGCCCCTGCCCCGGCCCTAGCAGGGGCTGTGGGAACGGGCTTCCTTCCTGGTGAGAAGCCCGGGTCCGCCCTCGGCGGGAACCTGTGGGCTGCGCCGTGTGCCCACTAACAGGTCGCCCTCCAAGAGGAAGGGGGGTGTCTCCAACCAGCCCAGGGGTCCGCACAAAGGCCCTCCTCCCCAGCCATGGCCCAGGGCCTCGTTCAGGCGCCCCCCCAGCCGGGCCATCGGTCCCACTTGAGCTGAGAGCAGGTCCCCAGTGACGCCCTGCCCCCGTCACCCACCCGCTGCTGAGCTGTGTCAGCAGGACCCACCACCCCGACCCTGACGCCCCCAACAGTGAGAGGTCTGGTTGTGTCAGCAGAAACACACGCACCCCCTCCACCCGGGGCCCACAACTCAAGGGGCACGTCACCCCGAAAGCTAGCCGGCCGTGGGCTCCCACTCAAAGCCGCTCCCCAAGACCACCACCCAGTCTCCCTGCTGTACCCCCGCCAGCATTAAGCGATCCTTTTAGAAAACTAAAAACAGGAGCCCAAGCATGGATCTCACGGGATGCTCGTCTGTTTCTAATGAATAATTCACTTTGAAGCAGACCCACTGCTTACGTTTACGTTTTGAATTCCTCTGCTCAGGCATCCATCCAGCAAATGGACAGAATTAGTTAATTTGACAGAGAGCACGTGCTACCTGCTCGTTCTGCTTCTATCTGGACGGAGAGAATCGTGGAGGGAGGGGCCTCCCCACGGAGCCGCGGGGCTGGGAACGGGCTGGGGTTGAGGAGGGCCGTTGGGTGAATGAGGCCACATTTGCGGGTGGGCGATCCCCTGAACATCCGGCCTGCCGGCCTCGAGGAGACTGGGGCTTTGCTCAGTCTGGAAGACAGGCTGTCTCTGGCCGGCCGGCAAAGAGGAAAAGGGTGGAGGCTTGTAGCTTTGAGCACCCAGACGAGCGCAGCATCGCTATGCTGCAGGGGGACACGACCCCAGGGCTGGGGACCCCTCGCAGGGGGGCTGCGATCTGCTCCCACAGCTTCGCAGGTGGCGGCTCCCAGCCTCCCTCTTCCTTCCCATAGAGGGGGCACAAGAGCAGTTAAATTATCGCACTGGATCTGCCCACCCCAGCTAGAACCTTCCGGGGGCCTCTGGTCACATCCAGAGTCCGACCCAAACCTCCCCAGGGGCCCAGGGACCCAACGGCCCGTTTCCTGCCCCTCCCCTCCGCCTCCCCCTCACCCTACCCCTTGCGCACGCAGCCCCTCAGCCTGGCCTTTAGTGGTCCCACTGCTCCCACGGGGACATCCTCCCCCCCGGACCCCAGTGGTTCCTCACCGGCCAGGGCTCCGCTCCTGTAGCTCCGGCCGCCATCTCTCCACCCTCCGCAGTGAGGGGGCTCAGGGAACCGGGGGCGGCGGGGTGCAGGGGGGCCCGTCCTCAGAAGACAATGTGGGGCGTTGGGTGGACTCTGCTTCCCCTCGGCCACCAGAGCGCAGCCACTGCTCCCCCACCTGCCGACTGAAAATTTTCAATTCCCATTTTAAGACAAGACGAGAAGAATTTTAACATAAAGATTTTTCTGTCGTTTGGCTTCCAGTTGTGCATCTGTGCTAACCAGACCTCCCCAAGCTGAAACACCTGCTCAACCACGTAGACTAATTTTTCTCCTTCTGACACCAGCCGTGTAACTCCTTAGGAGACAGCGTTCCTGTGAGGGGTCACAATGACCCGCCACTCGCCTTGTACGTACAGACGTCTTTGGTGAACTTTACATAAAATGCCGATATATCATTTCCCTTAAAGACAGCGATTAGAATAGACTGCTCAGACGACCTGGGGAGATATTGGGCCGCACTTCATGGAAGTTCTTAGCTTAAATACTTACGACCTTATTAATGTTACTGGCTGTATTACTTGTATTCTATTTTACAAGATTTTCGTTTCTGGCATTACCAAATGTGTGACTGAGCGTCAGATAAAAATTAACGATGACTAAGGGACCTGAAACAATTGACCAAACATATAGTTCTATAAGATCAGTGATTGTAATAGTGTAACTCTAGGCATGGGAAGAAGCAGCAACAGGGAAACGTTTCCTGGACCGTAACAGACCAGTAGGACCAGAGACCCAGAGGCGCTGGGCCACCGTTAACAGGGCCCAGTCCAGTAACAGCGCCTTGACGGGCCGATCAAGGAAGTCCTCGCCTGACCTGGGAACGAGCATTCCTAGCACCGTGGGATAAATTGGTCATGAAATGCCTCCCACACTTGGGTTGAAATTAAGACCGAAAGGGAGGGAATTATAAAATAAAGAACGCTGCCCACCCTCCGGTTCTACAAGAATCAAGCCCTCAGCCACTGCAGTCGCTGACCTCCAAGGAATTCGGGGTGGAGATCAGGAATGAGGCCCTCTGGGCTCTGGGAAAACTGGCAGAACCGGCCCTCAGATGATATCTTCAGGAGACAATTTTTATGATGCTGGATTCTTGCCTCTTCCCGTACTTAGAAAAGCACCCAAACCATTAACCGAGATGTCTGTTCCTGGTGACCAGCGGCAGCCTTCTACCCACATGCGTGCTGGGTTGCACGTACCCCTTCCCCCAAATCACACATATGCTGACCACCCCCATCTCCTCGGAACAGATCTCAGAGCTACTGAAAGACTGTTTCGCAGCTGCAGTCCTCAGTTTCTCTCAAATACAATTCTCCACTCTTCCTTAGACTGAATATTGATTAAGGTTTTTCTGGACAGGATGAAGCCGCTGAAAGCACCCCCTCCACGAAGATGGCATCAGGACAAACTGACCTTCCAGAGCTTGGGGCCCTGTGCCCCCCGGGCCCCAGGCCTCTCCCGTCCACGTGGTCCATCAGGGAGGCTGCTTCCTGCTGAGTCACGCCCCCGGCCAACTTCAGCCCATCCAGCCCATGCCTGAGCCCGGGGCCGGGGGGGATGGTGTTGGGGGGCCCTGGGCTCCAGGTAAGTGCGGCATCAATGTCCGTGTCAGGGCTGGGGCTGGGACAAAGTGTCCTTCCTGGGAGAGCCCGTGACACGCCCACCCTCGTGATCCCAGCTATACCACGGGACCCTCCCCTGGAATCCCTGGCACCCCCCACCAGGTCCTCCCCGACAGCTGTGGGCACAGAGGGGGGCTGGCCGGGGGGGGGCGGGGCCCAAGGGAGGAGGGAGGGTTTCCAGCTTCACCCTGACCCGGAGGGTGTTCCTGAGGACGGCGGCCCCCGCGACAGGAAACGGTGCCCACCAGCCCGCAGGGGACCAGACAACACCCGGAGTGCCATCTTCGGGCCTGACAGGCTTCGGACGGCCAGAAAACTGCGTGGCCTCCGGGTGCCTGTGCCTGCACTGTTGTCTCGGTTTAAATAGTCTCCTGGTGAACGGGACCACCACCCTGCAGAGAGCTTCGGCCGGATGTCAGAGCCCGCTCTGCTCACACACCTTGACCCAGAAACTCCATTTTTGGGATCCGCTCTAAGGAAATGCCACACCAAGACCCTTCTACACACAAGGGAAGGGGCCTAACGCCTACTCATCTGAGATTCAAGACACTACTCCGCAGATTCTGCAGACCCGGTGGGGGAGCCATCCCAGCCTTTCTGCGGGGTTTCCCACACCGCTGGGGCCGCTTCCCGGGTGCCAAGCACCAGGGCCTGGGCAGGGCCAAGGTCTTTGACAGTTGCTGGGACTCCGGAGCTGGAGGGGCAGTAGGCAGCAGTGGGTTGCACCTCGGCCTTACAGCCCCGGACATACCTGGCTTCTCTGAGTCCAGCACTGGCCTGGCAGTGCCAAGAGGCTGGAGGTGGGGCACCCCTCTGCTGGGGTGGGCACAGCAGACTAGGACACACTATACCATTAAGTCAAACGTGTTAGCTGCCAGTGATATTAGCTGTGATTCCTACTTTTTTCTTCCTACATCTCTGCATTTTCTAGATTTCCTACAATAAACATATTACTTTCTTTTTTTTAATATATAAATTTATTTATTTATTTTTGGCTGCGTTGGGTCTTCATTGCTGCGTGCGGGCTTTCTCTAGTTGCGGCGAGTGGGGGCTACTCTTCGTTGCGGTGCACGGGCTTCTCATTGTGGCGGCTTCTCTTGTTGCAGAGCACGGGCTGTAGGCGCACAGGCTTCAGTAGTTGTGGCTCGCAGGCCCCAGAGCACAGCCTCAGTAGTTGTGGCGCACGGGCTCAGTAGTTGTGGCTCACGGGCTCTAGAGCTCAGGCTCAGTAGTTGTGGCGCATGGGCTCAGTTGCTCCATGGCATGTGGGAGCTTCCCGGGCCAGGGCTCGAACCCGTGTCCCTTGCACTGGCAGGCGGATTCCCAACCACTGTGCCACCAGGGAAGTTCCTTACTGTCTTCTTTTTAAATTTTTATTGGAGAATAGTTGATTTACAATGTTGTGTTCCTTTCTGCTGTACAGCAAAGTGATTCAGTTATACATATACATATATCCACGCTTTTTAAGTTTCTTTTCCATATAGGTCATTACAGAGAACGAAGTAGAGTTCCCTGTGCTCTACAGTTGGTCCAAAGTATTACTTTCCAATAAAAGGAAAAAAGATGGAAAACTTCCACTTCCAGCCAAGACGGAATCAGAGGGATTGGATTACTTTCCTACCTGAAACCACCAAAACACAGGCAAAACATATGACACCAGGATTTTCAAGGCACTGGACATCAGGCCACAAAGAGCCGCGAAGCCAGAGAGATGGGAACAGAGGGGGTGAGCCCGATGGGAACCCTGGCCAGCTGCCTGCACAGAGCTTCCAGGCCACAGTGCAGGGGTGACCCAGCAGAGCCTGGTGGGCATCCTGAATGGAGGATCTTAAGAATTCAGGGAGACCAAGGCAGTGACAGTTTGCAGCCAGGTACCAGAGAGGAGAGAGCTGCATCCAGAGAGCCCAGGGAGATGCAGAGTCCCATGAGTACACGGCAGAGCACAGATTTGCAAAGCGAATTTGTGCTTAGAAACCTTCCCACAAAGAAAAGTCCAGGCCTAGACGGTGGCCCGGAGGATTCTCTCCAATAGTTAAGGCAGAATTCATAGCAATTCTGCACAAACCCTTTCAAAAAATTGAAAAGAATTATTCCCAAGTCATTCTATGAAGCCAGCAGTTACCTGACACAAAAATCAGACAAGAAGTTACCAGAAAAAAATGCAGAAAATATCTCTCACACACATAGATGAAAAATTCTAAACAAGTCTACTCAGTTGAATCCAACAATATATAAAAAATGTAATACATCCCAGTTCAGCCCAAGAATTCAGGGTTGATTTAACATTCAAAATTTAATCAATTCAATTCACCAAACCAACAAACTGAAAGAAAAACAAATTACGATTATCTCCGTAGACACAGAAAAAACACTTGACAAAATCCAACATCCATTCTGATAAAAACTCTCAGCAAACCAGAAATAGCCGGGAACTTCCTCTACTTGATAAACAGCATTTACAAAAAAAATCTACAGCTGACATCATACTTACGGGTGAGATTGGATGCCTTCCCCCGCCCGATCAGGACCGGGGGGGAGGTCTGCTCTCACACTCCGTCCCAGCCGGGGCAAGAAAAAAGAAACGGAAGGCTGAGGTCATGCCTGGAAAGGAAGAAGTGAAACTGTCTTTTTTTGGCAGATGACGAGCTCATCTATGCAGAAAACCTAATGGAATCTGCAAAAAAGTGACTGGAGCTGAGGGAGTCCACCAGGTCACAGGATCAAGGTCAACATGTATTTCTGGAGTGAGCAATGGGCAATCAACAACTGAAACGAAAAGAACAACCCCATTTATAGTCAAGTGAATATAAAATACTTAAGGATAAATCTGATGAAAGATGTGAAAGACACGTACACATAAAACAACAAGACGTTGCCGAGAAAAAACTGCAGAAGACCTAAAGAAATGGGAAGTCACTCTGCGTCATAGTTGGAAGACCTGAGGTTCTTAAGCTATCAACCCCCAAATGGATCTATAGATTCAACAGACTCCTAACCAACATCCCAGAAGACTCTTTTCTTTTTCATTAGAATTTGACAAACGTACTCTAAAATCCATAAGGAAATGCAAAGAACCTATAAGAGCCAGAATGATTTTGAAAGAGAAGAATGAAGTTGGAGGACTTCTACCACCTGACTTCAAGACTTTATAAAGATAGCGGCCAAGATAAGATGCTTATATAAAGCCCAGACATAGATCCGCACACACGTGAACGAGTGATTTTTGACAAAAAATGCAAAGGCAGTTCAGTCGAGAAAGGAGAATCTTTTTAACAAATGGTCTAGGAACAATTGGCTGCCATGTGGATAGAACATGAATGTTTATCTATGCCCTGCACCATATACAGAAATTAACTCAAAATGGATCATAGATCTAAATGTGAAACCTAAAACTATAAAACTTCTAGGAGAACACGTAGGAGAAAAGCTTTGTGACTGGCTTAGGCAAAGGTTTCTTAGCTCCAACGCCAAATGCATGGTCCATAAAAGAACAAACTGATAAACTAGATTTCATCAGAATTTTAAATTTCTGCTCTTCAAAAGTTACTATTAAGAGAATGAAAAGACCAGCCACAAAATGAGACAAAATGTTTGCAAACTATAGGTCTGATAAAGCTTGAATCCAGAGTACTCATTAATAAGAAAACTAATAACCCTTTTTAAAAACTGGGCAAAAGATTTGAACAAATGATGATCAAAGAACATATACAAAGAGTAAATTAATACCCCAAAATGCTCAATATCATTAGCCATCAGGGAAGTTAAAACTGCAATAAGATGCCACAATCGACCTACTAGAAGGGCTACAAATAAAAGGCCCAGCAGCGTCAAGCGCTGATGAGGTTACGGATCCATCCGCACGCTGCTGGCGGGAATGTAAAACTGCTTTTGAAAACAGTTGCACAGCTTCTTAAAAAGTTAAACATACTCCTCCCAAGCGATCCAGCCATTTTACTCCCCAAGAGTAATGAGAAGCATACGTCCCCGCAAAGACTTGTACATAAGTGTCCATAGCAGTTTTATTTGTAATAGCCCAAAACAAGAAGCAACCCACACGTCCATCAACAAGGGAAGGGATATGCAAACTGTAACGTTTCCAAGCAATGGGATTCTGTTCAGCTTTAAGTAGGAATGAAAGTCTGGTTCACAGAGTAACATAGATGAGTCTCCAAATACTGATGCTGAGTGACAGAATCATTCCACTTACGTAAGACTGTAGGAAATACAAACTGATCTACAGTGACAGGAAGCAGGTCAGCGGTTGCCTGGAGACAAAGGCAGCGCAGAGCGTGGGAGGGACCCCAGAGGGCGTGAGGAGTCTGGGGGAGGTGGGTGGCTGGACTGTGGTGATGGTTCATAGGTGCACACGTAGGCCAAAACTTGTCAATCGGGCTTTACGGCTGTGTAGTTTAATATATGTCAACTTTATAAGGCTGTTTTTAAAATTCAGAGTAATGGCATTGGTAAAATGGCAGAATGAGGACATCCAGAAACCTCTGAGCCATAAAAGCGACGGGAACATTGGCAAAAATGATCAGAATCAACTTTCTCAGACCTCTGGAAATTCACCAAAGACTTGCAATGAGGAATGTTTATTCAAGAAAAACAGCTGAATCTTGGTAAGAACAGTGAGCTCTGTGGCATTTTAACTCGCCCTACTCCCATCTACCCTCCCCTCCGCATCTCCCCAGTAGCCTTGAAAACCAACAGGCTGGCAGCTGACAGAGGGGGCAGAATGGAGGTGGCGTCCCCTGATGTCCTATCCCCAGAGAAGCGTCACCACCTGGAGCCCACGCTTGCAAGGCTGTCTTCATCTAACTTGACCTGGAGCTCACCGAACAGGAACAGCCATTTCCCCGAGGGCATTTGCTTTGTTAAAAAAAAAGCAGAAGCAAGTGGTGAGGATTCTGGGCTTTCAGTGCCGTGGCCTGGGTTCAATCCCCGGTCAGGGAACTGAGATCCCAAAAGCCCTGCAGCACGGCCAGAAAAGAAAAAAAACACAATCAAAGGCAATCATTTAACATTGCAGCTGCCCAAAGCAGTGCATAACAGCTGGGGCCAAAAAAAAAAAAAAGACAGACAGACAAGCTTAAAAGGAGACGCTGGGGAACGTGATGTCCATGGGGAGATCTGGGCAACTCCCGCATATTCCTAGGAGCCTGGAAGGCCACGCACACGCCCAGGGCTGTGCACCTGCTCGGTAAGGAGCTGAGGAGGCCCTGCACTCTCACCTCCGGCCAACCTTCAGGGAGGAAGGGAAGGCTGAAGCAGAGTTGCCAACTGCCGGGCTGAGGGTTGGAGGCGCCCAGCACACGCTCAGAGCCCCTCGGCAAAGACTGAGATGCACTGGCTCAGGGGTTTAAGGGGGCCTCTGTCCAGTCCTTAGCTGATCACCAAGGTAGCTGAGAAGACACTTGAGTAGCTCCACAAGACAACGAGTACAGACTGTATACAATTAACTCAGAAAAGCACTAGTAACAACCACCAAACTACGAATTCCAACGACAAACCTTGGGGAGGGGAAAGACTCTGATTTTCAGAGTTACCCCATTATGTTATTTTAAATGTCCAGTTTTTCATTTTATTTATTTATTTTTGGCTGCATTGGGTCTTCATCGCTACACACAGGCTTTCTCTAGTTGCGGCGAGCAGGAGTTACTCTTGGCTGCAATGCGCGGGCTTCTCACTGTGGTGGCTTCTCTCGTTGTGGAGCATGGGCTCTAGGCATGTGGGCTTCAGTAGTCGTAGCTGGCTCGCCAGCTCTAGAACACGGGCTTCATTAGTTGTGGCACTTGGGCTCAGTAGTTGTGGCTCAAGGGCTCTAGAGCACAGGCTCAGTAGTTGTGACGCATGGGCTTAGTTGTTCCGTGGCATGTGGGATCTTCCTGGACCAGGGTTCCAACCCATGTACCCTGCGTTGGCAGGCAGATTCTC